TGATAGCTCAAAGCTGTGTCTGGCTCACTGCTTGCTCCTGGGGGGCTCCCAGAAGATGGGGGGTGAGGGTGGGTGTCATGCCTCTCCCCAGTTCTGCAAGCCTGGCAGCTCCCTCCTCATCCTCTCAGAGAAGTCCTTCACTGCATCCCTTTCCTGCCCATCTTCCCCCACCCCTCCCTTCCCCGAGCCACCCAGAGGACCCGTTTGCCCTATCCCCGACCACTCTCCCTTGGTGCCAGACCGGACACGCGTGGGACACGTGTGGGCGCGCCAGCCCACGCGCGGCTGTGTGAAGAGGCCACCTGGCGACGTGTCCCGCACACTGCCTCCTCGCATGCGAGAAGCCCCAAGAAATCACGCTGGTCTACGCCGTGTCATGTATTTTATAAAGGTATTAATTCGACCGGGTGGGTTTCTTCCCCCTAGAGCCGACCCAGGGTTCTGGATCTTCCAAACCCCATGCCGGGAGCAGAGAGGGGCTGCGAGTCCTGTCTGATGCCCCACTGAGCATCCCTGCATCCGTGGTGAGCATCCCTGCATCCCCAGTGCAGTTAGCCTGAGGCCTGGCCAGCTCGGCTCACCCCATGGTTGCTCTCACACCTCTTCCAGCTCCCAGAGGATGAGGTTTCGCCGGGCCAGGATCTTGGCCGCTTTCCTGGTGAGCAGCTTCTCCTGCACCAGGGACTGCAGGACGGTGTAGCTCTGCAGGTTGCAGTGGGTGAGCGTCATCCCCGCGTCAGCATGGGCAGGGAGCTCAAGGGCTCCCCAAAGTTCCTGCAAGGCCTTGGCCATGGCCAGCGCGCTGCCCTGGTTGAGCTGCTGCTGCAGATGCCTTCTCAGCAGGTTCTTCAGCTTGTAGGCAGGGGCCTTGGGCAGCTTTTCTTTGATCAAGGACAACATATCCACGTAACCACCCACCATATGGCAGAAGTCCACTTTCCTGCCAGTGGTATCCAGGGCTTTAAGGAGAGTGGGTAGCTCCGGTGCCCAGAAGTTATAGACGATGAGGATGGGCCTGGGGAGCGGGGAGAGGTACCAGAGGAGGTGCTGTATTGCCACCTCCATGGGGACACCCTCTGAGAGCAGCGCCAGCACCGACTCGGGCGTCTGAATCAGCGTCTTCAAGGTGTGCTCTCCGTTGGCTGCTGCCACCTCCATGATGTGCTGGGCTGTGGAGGGGAAAGGATGGGGCTGGAGTAAGCATTTGGGGGTGCCTCTCTCTGCCCCACAGCCCCCTGTGCCCGGGAATGGCAGTGCTCACTTTTCTGGTCAACCTTCAAGCTGAGGAACACCAAGGTGCTCTGCTCCGACTCGTCATCCCAGGGGCTGGTGGGGCTAGGGCTGTGGTGGGGTGAGGTGCCGCTCCCAGACCACGTGGGGCTGGAGGGTTGCTTGATGTCCTTGGGCTTGCTGGAAGCCTGCAAGAGATTGGAGAAGGGAGCCTGGTCCCATCTACCTGCTTGGACATGGCTGGGAAGGTGTGAGGAGCACCCTTGGGTGCATCGTTGGCTGTGGGCAAGGACATGGTTGTGTGCATGAAATCCATGGGGTCTCACGTCCCAGCACTGCTGGGCCGGGTTGGTTGTGCATCGTGTCTCAGGAGTGGGCTGGCCATGGGGAGCCTCCTTGAGAGCCCAGAACCAGGGTCTGGGCCAAGTGAGCAAGAGCAGAGCCCTGAACGCAGCTCGTCCTAAGCAGGGGGTGGGATCCTGGCAATGGCCAGAGGGACATAACGCGCAGGTCTGGGGACTTGCTGTCCCCTTCTGCACATCTCATGAGGATGCAGCTCATGCAGGGACGTAAAAGTGGCTGAGCAACCTCGCCACAGGAGATACCGCTAGATGTGAAGGTCTGGTTGGTGCCTGGAGGAAAAGGGGACTCAGCCAGGAGGAGGTTTGGTGGCTCTCCAAGCTCAGCAGATGCTGTGCCTACAGCGGTGCTTCCTGAGGGTGAGTAAAAGGACCCACATCAGCCATCCCCCACCCAGCCTCAGCGGGGATGGACATCTGCAGGGAATGTCTCCTTATGGGAGGAGTAGGACAGCGAGGCATTCAAGAGGTTCCAATCCTGGGTTTTCCTCCATGTTTCCCCCAGGGACAATCCTGCACCCCTGGCCTGGGCAACCTGCAGCATCCATCTTCCTCCGCAGCAGCTCTCTGCACCTCCACCCGCAGACCAGGAGCGGTGGAAACATGGCTGGACCGATGTCTGCAGGCAGGTGAGCAAAACCAGGCGCTGCCTGGCTCAGGGGATGTGGCATGGCTTAAATATTGTGTTAAAATTAGGTGTTTGAAGGGCATATGGGGTTCCTCTGCCTGGGAAGGGACAGGAGGAGGATGGTACTGGTGGTGGGGTGGTGGCAGTGTCCCGTGTCCCCCTCGCCTGGCTGTGCCCAGAGTGACCAACTGGCCTGAAGGGAGTTAGATGAACCAAACCTGGCGATAAAATGCGGTCGCAGATGCTCTTGTTACCCAAACCAGCAACAAGCAAATGAAATTTCTAGGCAAAAAGGTTTTATTGAAGGGTTAAGCAGAGAGGGAGAACGCGTCAGATCTTTGGGGAGGAAAATCACCCATGCAGAGACACGTGCTCGCGGCACCGCGGTGGCTGTGGGCGATGGGTCCGGGCAGAGCTGGGCGCTGGTGATGCTCTTGCAGCTTCAGCTCGGTGTGAAGAGCATGACAGTCCCTGGGTGACCCCCACAAAGGTCCCTCCCCAGCCCCAAAATCTCCTTTTAGATGTCTGAGCCTCCAGGCGAGTCCTCAGCCCTTGCCTTCCACCCCGTGCAGGCTGCAGCTTCCCTGGGCTGCATCCTGCTGCCCCATCCCATTCCTCAGCCTTTTTTCTCACTCAGCTCCTATTTTCCCCCCCTTTTCCAGGCTTTAAACCCATTTTTCCCAGCTCTCAAGGTTGCATTTCTCCAGTGCCCAGCACCAGACCAGTGGTGAGATGTTTACACCCCTGAAACCTCTTTTTTTTTTTCCAGCCTGCGCCTTTGCTACACCCTTCAATCCACGTCCTACCAAAGGACACCTGATTCACGCAGCGATTTCTCACAGCAAGCTGCTAATGTCCCCAAAAAGCCCCAGCCTTGGGATTTTTTGGCACTAGCAGGGAGCGGGGACAGGGTTTTAGTCCCACAACTTCTTCCCCCCCCCACTAGAGATGAATCAAGAGAGCAAGGAAAAACAGCAAAGGAAAAAATTAATAAGGAAGCCAGCAGCAGGCTGGGATTTAATCTGGAAACAGCTTTATTGAAGAGTAAGAAGAGCTTCTGCGTTAATTTACACCAAAAAAAGGGGCTGTTAACCCCTCATTAAGCCAGTGCTGGAAAACCAACCCCCCCAGTCCCAAATCAGCTGTGCTCTTGCTTCATTTCCAAAGGGATTCCCGTGCTGATGACAGGGGATCTCGGCACGACCCTACGCCCTTGGTTCATCTAACCACCTCGGCCAGAGCCATTTGGTCGCAACTCACCAGCCTGCAGCATCAGTGCTGGGAAATGTCACCACAGGGAGCTGGGAAATGTCACTTTTGGGACTGCTCAGGTGGTCCCTGCCTGCTCCAGTGGCTCCCGGGGAGCTTCTCAGCCTGCGTAGGCACAGGACTGACGAGCTCTCCAAGCACGGATGCTACATTCAACTCGCAAAGTTGATTTGTATATGAAAATTGATTTTTTTTAAGCTGGTAATAACCTTCCCACTGACGCAGAAAGGAAGAGGCCATAAGGACTGACTTGAAAGGGTCATCTTGAGGGATCGGCTGGTGTGGGATCCCACCTCATAGCAAAGCCAGGCAGGGTTTGCTGCCCGCAAGAGGGGACCTTGGCTGCTCCAGAACACCAGGAGATACCAGCCAAGGTCTTAGCCCAGGAGGACTAGATTTGGGATGGCGCAGATGCCCCGCCACCTCAGAGCAACCAAATGGGAAGCAAAAGGCGCAAGCGAGTCTCTGGCTGATGCCACATAGGGAGAAGACTCGGGTCGGAGCACGGCTGGAGGAAGGGGAAAGGCACCCCGGAGATGATGGGGGGCAGCTGCCTCTTCTCCATGGCTCAGCAAGGAGGGAGGTCTGGCATTACACTCACCGGTGTGTCTTCCTCGCTGTCCTCCGAGCTGCAGATGATGATGCTGGTGTCTTCTGCAGGAGGAACAGGAGGATGCTGAAGCTTCAGAACTGTGATTCTGGACCACACTAGTTTTCCCATGGGAGGGCTGATCTTATCTCCTGATTTTTGCAGCAGAGGGCAAACGCTTCTACCAGGACCATGAACCACCCAGCCGTTGGGTGGTCTCGGATGCACCCCAAGGTGGGGGCAACCTCTCCACTGCTGCTTCACCCCATGGACCCTGTACCAGCCCCTCCAGAAGATGTATTTCGCCCTCCCTCCTGTTTGCAGAGCTGAGCCCGGGACAAAATCCCAGCATGGCAGTGGTTGGAAGGGACCTCTGTGGGTCACCCAGTCCAACCCCCCTGCCGAAGCCGGGTCACCACG